TATCACTGCTACTGCGAAACGAATGCTCGTCAATATAGCATCATGGGAGACAAGCTCGATCTGATTGAACGCAACATGTACTTAATTACGCACAAGTCAGTTATGGCTAGTTTTTCCTCAACATTAAAACTCATCAAGCAAGCCCATTTAGCGCAGGATGGGATTATAGGAAGGATGTTGGAAGAAAAGTAGCTTTGAAGGCATTTGAAAAATGGGCTGTTGATAATCCAAATAATAATTCTTTGTGTGTGGTAAGTTTTGCTGTGCGTTCATGAAATGCTTTGCAAAAATGTTGTTTTCCCTATGTTTCAAGAATTACCTAAAGTTCCTAAGGCGTTCTTGATTACATGTTACCGTAACTCTATTCACCATTAATCACTTGATTCTTCTCGGACCTGATAGTGTCAATTGCCACCATCAACTTCAGAAGGCAGTAACTGCCACAACGGCAGATTTCCACCACATGCTGCTAGAGGTCGCTTTAGGCAATCCTTCCTGCTTTGCAATCTCCATTCCATCCGTAATGGTATTTCCGATATAAGACTTATGTGCAACCGAAACGCAAGAGTTCAGTACGGTTGGTGGTTGCAGCAACTGCAAACATATTACCTTCAAATAGTTGGTTTATAATCATACTATTTTCCAAGATGTGAGATATGGTGTGCAAGAACAACTGCTATGAGAATGCGAATAAGGTTTTTGCAAAAAATCAGAAAATTGGAAGAGAACTTGAGGAACGAAAAATAAAAGCGTTTTGTCGACAAAAAAGTCCCAACTTTGGCTACGTCGCTGTCTAGATGTTTCATCATCAGGAACAGTAGGTAAACAATCCCCTCTTGCGCGGAAAAGATCAGGTCCAAAAGAGTTAAAGAACTGTTGCAGTGAAATTTCAACTAAATTTCCAACGTTGGATCAGCATTGTGTACTTGAGCTTTGCATTGCCAACAGGACTTCACAGCCAACAAGGGCGGAATAAGAGCAAAACTTGTGACAGTTGAAAGGCATTCGCTTTCATTTTGTACAATTTGAAGTCGCTCAGAGCCCTTTCGCTTAGCCGCAAAAAGTTTCACTATCTTAGATTATTCGCTATTAACTTACCATCTGTGGCATAACGAAGAAAAGTGTTTATATAAATTATTCACGCATGCGCGGCGCAGAACATCTCTGTTACCAAAAAGCTCACACTGCAATATGCCTTACTAATAAATGGATGATAGTCTATGGGTATGATACAGCGCTTGCAAATGATGATCGCCAACGAGTTTTTGATTTAACTCGCATTAATGATGGAGCTTTTCAAGACTGTGATAGTCGTATCGGCTGCAGCCACTGCTTGAGCAGTACGCTATGACTCAGACAATCGGTGCCGTAGCTCCGGAGGACAGTCGAAATCTGGCAGAGCTGCGAGGACCCAATTGACCATTGAGAGCGAGGCGAGGGGCCGGTCCCTTTCTGTGACGTCACGGTGACGTCACAAGAAGGCAGATGAGACCCCTCCGGCAGGCTTGCAAATCTCTGCTCCGAAGGTACGCCAGATTTGGGAGAGCCTCGGAGCACAGATTTGCGCTCCGGAGGTACGCCAGATTTGCGACACCTCCGGAGCACAATGGGAGGGCTCCGGAGCACAAATGGGACGTCTCCGGAGCACAAAATGGGAGGACTCCGGAACATAAATGGGAGGTCTCCGGAGCACAAAATGGGAGGGCTCCGCAGCACGAGTGACAATCCCCCGCTGGGGAAACCCCGCGACTCTGCCATTTCTGCTCCGGAGATATGCCGTCGACTGTCTGAGGAGGAGGAATTGTCCTTTCAAAATAGTCTTACATGGTGGTTTTTGCTTGTAGAAGTAAACTGGAAATTATGGCGGTGATGTCGTTTAAATGGAGGATTCGTGGCGTAATGCGCGAAATGAGTGCAGTCAGTACGGCTACGGCCTGGCCAGGGTATAAATCCTATCGTGCCATAATTTGAAAATCTTCACAATCGCCTCTTGTTACTTCAGTCTTTGTTATACATGTCTAACACATACCATTCAGAGAATAAGAGAAGAAAATTTGACACATTTCGGATGCTCCCAAACCTCATACAGCTTTTGGGACAAGAAGTACTATGGATATGTTGACAGAGCTGTACTCATTTGTTCATTTGAACAACTACAGTCTGTTTCGCCGTTTATCGACGCCAAAAAAGAAACTGTGAATACAAGTCTTGTACTTTGTGATGATTGGGGGAGTGTAAATTGTAAATACCCTAAAATCCGATACATAGATGAGAGCGGTTTATTTACAAAAATGAATTAGAAAAACTGAAATTGAATGCAGTCACCCCCTAACTTGATGGATGGATAGATAAAAATCGGAGAAGAAGTTTAGAAGAAGCTCCGCCCCTCAACTCCAAACCCCGCCCCTATATAAACAATTCATATAGAAAAATAGCGATTTTAAAGGAATTTCGGAATTTCTATATGAATTTTTTATTAGGTGGGCGGGGTTTAGAGTTGAGGGGCGGAGCTTCTTCAAAACTTCTTCTCCGACTTTTATTTATCCATCTATCAAGTTAGAGTTCATTTTTCACCGGTAAATTAAACCGCTCTTATCTATGGGATTTTAGGGTAGTAAATGTGCTTTTTTATCGTTAGCAACACCATGTTCTGATTATGGAGAATATAAATGGGTGGAATGTTCCCTTCGTCTTGTAAACTCTTGAATTTTCTTCATTGCCAGATAGTACTCTAACTCTTTTAGCGGTACGTGGTGTTTAGTGGTGAATTGGAGGTATAGCTATCCCAATTTCGTAAGTACAAGGCTCATTTCTTGCGTTTTTTTTTTATGCGAGCAGCTTAAACGCTTCGTGCCTCTCGAGACTGTCGCCATGCCTTACTATTCTCTTAGGTAAAGGACGGTGTTGGGTCTTTTGATGTGAAATCTTTGGCGTGGGACTGATCAAAATTAAAAAAGAATGATGCACCCCGCACTCGTAATAGTAAATTGCATTGAAATCGCCGATGTCTAAGTCACTGCTAAAATACTCTGTGGTTTTCATCAAAAGTATATTAGATTTGTCAAGCAACCTACAAAGCCTTGACAAAAACGTGTGGACTAGCAGTACAAAATGGAAATCCACAAATGAAGTACGTGTCTCTCGCCTACTCTCTCGTTCCAGCTTTTATATTTTCCCTGAACGGCACAGCGTTGCATTCCGCGCAAAACGCGGAGCCTTTAGATATCCCATAAGCAACTTAACAGCTTGTGTCTTTGTGCTTGTATAAACTGCTGCTTCAAAAATGTTTCTGCTCATTAAGCCAATAAGAGAGTTTCTGATGATCCTGGAATATAAAAAAACGCATCATATCACGGGCAAATTTGAAGGCTGAAATGAAATAAAACATGCCCACTTCGAAGCGTACAAAAAACCACCCATAGAAGAATGACACTGGACATGGAACCGCCGCTCGACCCGCCCCTCCAGCGGATCAGAGCGCCTTCCGGAAGTGTCCCAGATTTCCACTGCCCACTGGAAGTACCTTGCGTATTGTCTGAGAGTACGAAGACTACGTTCAGGTTAGGACGCATGGTTTGGCAGACGAACGCCTGTGTGCCTGCTTTTGACTATCTAGGAAAAAGGGAAAAACGAAATAAGCGCACTCGGGTTATTGTCAAGTCTGTTGCTTACAAAGAATTCTCATAAAAAATATTTAAACTAACAATGAGCCGCTATTGCATCGCTGCGAAATTAAAACCTTTGCAGTACTACGTCATCATGAGGTAATGTCATACATCAAGCTCAGAACTTCGTAATTTCTGAAGTCGAGTTTTGTAGTACAAGGATTATTTTCCCCAGAAGAAAAGCTTAAACGCTCAAAAAAGCTCAACTTGAACTTTTGGAGACATCCCAATTTTCTGCAAGCTTGTAACTTCAAAGGAAAAGAACTCAGTAAGAGATTTCTGAAAATTTGTGAATTCATTTCAAATCATTACAAATAGACACAAATCTTGCTTATTCTTATGACCCATGCAGACACTTCCTTGCACTGCATTCCCGGGTTGCGAGGAATGCTCTGCTTGCTAATACACAGTCACCTCTCCGTTTTGAGCAAATGAAGTGCAGTAGCATAAATTCAGCAATGTGATTTATGTGCACCAGAATATAGTACATTCAATGATGAAAGGCTAGTCATGATTTGAATACGAAGTTTCATGTTCTGAGGTAAGTACTCGCGCTAATGATTTGGCGGTAGGATTATACGAATGCATAGTCTCATTGTCCCAGTATCTGAATGTTAAAGCAGTTCAATAAAGATTTTTGTTAGGAATAATCTGAATTCAGTCACTGATGCTTTTGTTTATGCACATTGCCATACTGGTATGGGTCTGAGCGCCTCTTTTCCTGATCGCTTATGTTCGCTCGAAATTGGTAAATTTGCGGGACCTGCCACCTCGGCTCCGGCATTGCAGCAAAATGCTGTCGCAGCTGAAACTGAAAAGATTACCAGTTTTGCAGTAGCATCTGTATTTATTACTCATGGCCTATAGGTCGAATTTGTAGGTAACAGGGAAATGTGCAACGCTAGTCTTCTTTACCAACCTTACCAATCAAAGGCGTTGATTGCTCAGTCTGCTCACAAATCAAATTATTCAAGTGTTCAGGCGAGCATCCAATAATTACGAATGAAGAACTTATGGACTACCGAGTAATACCAAAGAAAATACCGAGTTGTTTTGCGGGGCGCATGCAAAAAAGTGTAGAGTGATGTTATTGAAGCGCGTACAACAATAAACACAAGAATGCAACAGAGCAGAGAGGGGGAAAAGTTCTATTTTCACGCTTACTGCTTAAAATCGTTTGAAAGCTGTGAACACGGAGAAAAACTGTTTCATTTCAAAAATGTGACATTCCAGAAATTCTAGAATCCGGCGAAAAATCGATGTTATCATCATTATGAAGTCGGGTGTTGATGAAGCGGATGCAGCTATGGCAGTGAATCGGACAGTGTTGATGAATGTCGAATGAGTCAAATGCTTTTGCCAGCGGTCTTCGTGACAAGGAAGCCTCCGCATTCCTTCATACACGCACGGCTTTCTGTTTCATTTTCATTTCGATGAGCTACTCGTCGTCGCGCTATTCGAGCTCCTATTCGAGCCGCTATTCCGATCGTTACGGTGACTCTTCGACTCGCTATGGTGACACTTCTCGTTACACTTCCAAATCGGACTACTCCACTTCACTTGGGGACTCCACGTCAGCTACTGAGAAGGATGTGAGCAGCACCGATGATTATAGAACGCGCAGGTCTAAGTACTCTGCCTACTACACCTCTGGTAAGATCCACAAGTATTTGGAATATATCCTCGAGTCATTTGTAACTTAATATGCGTATTCACCATGCGCGTTACTTAACTTGTAAGATCAGAATCTGCCTAATATCAGCTATTTCTCCGTGTTTCCTTGCCTCTTTTATTTGATTGGATATTTATTAGTTGATCATACTAACAGTTTGTTGCGTTACAGAAAGCTTCACAGAGAAGTTACTGATAAAAGTGCCGTCCGGGGCCGCGCACTGTGTTCAGGCTTACATATTTAGTACGAATGGCTCACGACACCAAACAATTACTATTGAGTCGGCATGAAAGTTTTTGCATAATTAGAACGAAATTCTGTAACTTTTCAAATGCTAATCTTGATTTATAATTTCACTTTCCTGATAACAGAAGGTTAGCGCTAGATGATAGGCGCAACATGATTTTCTATCAGTTAGCCATCGAGCACGAAACTTTCAAAAATGGCGTTTCATTTGCGATTTTGAGTTTGCCACTAGAAACTTGCTAAGGGCTGCTGGTTAGTCCCAAAAACTTTGAAAAATTGTTCCCATTGTAGTAGTCCACGTTTTATAATGGTTCGCTTCAAGCTCGCATGAAAATGCAGAAACAAAAAGTTCGTTAAAAATGTCATTTTGCGAGGAATTCTTTTAAGTCTGTGGTTTCTTCACAAAACACGGTTCGAGATCAGTGATTTGACTTTTTGCTTACCTGGAACACTGACATTTTTCGAGGGTCAAATTGTGTCTTTTCGGGACAAAAATATTAGTGAAGTGTTTTGCATATCCATACGAGATTGAAGTCCCACAGTATCCCACAGCCTACAGCAATGTAAAAAAGTTTCAACACCAAGCTCAAAATAGGAAGATTTGAATAGTCTTGAAGATTTCCTTTCTAGCTCATAGAAAGTTCCCGGAACATCTATGTATCTCAAACTTTCAACTGTTTTTGGGAGACAGAGTGATGATAGGTCTAGGATTTGTATAACTATCAGATTCTATTTAAATTACGTAGGAACTTTTGTGCCAATCTAATATTCTCGAATCTGAATGTCTTCAGCATATACAACAAACGATGACTACAAGTTTAAGGACAAGAAGAACGAGGAGAAGGAGGAGGACATAGTTGAGAAAGGTAGCTATCAAGTATTTATTTTTCTTCTAAGAAAACCCGACTGAGCTAGAAATGAAATCAGTTGACCTGGATGAGTCGAATTTTATCTCAGTTTTCTATCTTTTGATCGTTGAACCTCAGATTATACTTCCTATCTCGACACTAAACGCGGGAAACTCATGAAAAGCGACGATATTACGGAAAAAAGCAGAGAAGCCGAGGAAGAGAAACGTATTGATTACGGTACGGATGAACTGGAAAAAACCACAACAGTCGTGGAGGCGCATGTTACTACAGCAAAAGATTATGAAGCTGAGGACGAGAAGGTCGTAGAGGATGCGGTAAGCAGATCACGATTACTTTTGCGGAAAAACTTCAAAAAGTTCGTAATTTCATTCATTTTTTACAAATTTTGGCGGTAACACAAGCTGATAGTGAAAAATGTCGTAAATCTCAAAATAGCCCGCAAAAATTGCTGCAATGTGTAGGAAACTTGATTTTAATTGGAATTTTTGCTTTGAAATTCTCTTACTGAATGAAAATAACTGATAATAAGCAAGCGTCTCCATGAGTATAGGCCCCAAATTTACCACGAACTCTTTTGCCGGATTTCAAATACTATTTTGTAGAGCTGACTTTGCACCAGATTTTCAGTATGAAGCGAATAAACAACCTCTTCTTATTACTGTAGATTAATTTCGTTGAAGGTGGTTTTAAGACACTGAAGGCTCTTTGTTGCCTCAGAAAACGTACCAGACAACCTGAAAACTATTACTTTAGGCTGAGTAGAGCGGCTGAATCTAAATGTTAAGTTTGTGCTTCTCCGCAATGCTTCGTTCATAATTTATGCCCATTACGGTACTAAACCTTTGATCAATATTTCTCAGAAATATAATCACACCATTTAGCTTCAGTCAAGCAGCTTGCTCAAAACTCTGCTGCGCGTGCTTTGAAAATTTTGGCTTTTTTGACTGCAGCTAATCCGCAAGGACACTGTATGCTGTTCTACAATAATCCTACTGTAAGAATAGTGTCCTACATAACGGTGCCAAAAGTCGGTAAAAGACTTCGTGGGAAGAGAGAAATTGATGGTCAAACAATGCATACAAACTTTAGGGACATTTTGTTCTATAAATGTCAATTTTTTCTTCTGAGTCAACAACTTGATTTATAAGATATGTTAGGTGTATGATAAAAGACTATCATCAAAGTGCCTTTTTAGAATCTACAGCAATTTTAGAGAAAATCTGTGCAAATCTCAGGAGACATTGTGATAGTTCGCTTTGATCAGTTGTTCTTAGGCCTTTCTCACTATCAGATGTTCACTATTTTGGTAAAAAATACCCCCGATATATTAGGTTGTCAGATAATTTCTGTTACATTTTTTTCAAAAATTTCTAGGAAATTTTAGAAGCTTTCTGAGAACTCCCAATTTGCAACATATTAAGGACATAGCAGGGTCTACCCACCAGCATGATTGATGCCGCAAGTGCACTAATGACCAACAAGTTTACGGCAGTTTTGTAAAAGCAGTCAAATTTTTCAGTTTTTGTCCGATCTTTTTCTCTGCGCCTACTTGCGCTTTTCCTCTTCCAGAATTTTTTTTAGGACGTATCTTGGCACTGTCTCTTACATGGAGGCATTCCGGTGCCTCTGGCGTTTCAAAAACGAGGGGTTAAAAAATATCAAAAAAATTCAGAAGCTTTCCTAAATTCTTCTGTTTATGGCATCGTATAAAAATAAATACAGAAAACATAAAAATGGTTTTTTGAAATTTTTTTGAAGACGTTTTCTTCATAAGAATTCGATGATTGCAAAGATGGCGCACACTGAGATCTGAACCGCTCAGAAAACCGTGTGCAGACATGTCTACGTTATCCCCCCATATTGACTAAACGCTACAGACTATGCCCTACCTGATTACCACATTGCCCGGTCTATCGCTCATCACCTGAGAGAACGCCAGTTCATTTACAAAAATGGGAGGAAACAGATTTTCAGCCACAAAGTGGGTGCTTTGCGCACCGATCGCCGATGCGACGGTACCCTTGAATAGGCCTTTTGACCCTGCCCATACGCCGCGATCAGCTCTTCCCCAAGCTTCTGAGATTATTAAGAATTAAAATTAAAAGTGTAACAGAAATTATCCGACAACCTAATAGATTGTATCTGTAATTACAGGAAGGAGTCGTAGGAGAGGAAGAGGATTATGAAGTCGAGGAAGAAGTTGCTGAGAACGAGGGAGGAGAAGAAGAAGAAGGAGAAGCAGAAGAAGAAGAGGCTGTACAAGTTGTAACAAAATCGTTCGATCAGCTCACAGCTTCGGAAGACTTGCAACCAGTGGTTCGTGCTGGTAACGATGAAGATACGGAATCCAACGATGCATACAAAGTAACCGTTTATGAGGTAAACAAATTTGGTTTCACTCTGTGGCATGCACCATATTTGATCCACTTTGCTATTTGTAAAATAGGCGAACTGACCAATGGCGAAACGGCGAAAAGGCGAAAGCACTTGATCTACTTGATCCGTTTGATCCAATTCGCCATTGGTTACCTCACTGATTTGACCAATAGCGAAATCGATGAAGTGGACCAAGCAGATCAAGTATGGTGTGTGCCTATGGTGCTTGGCAGAAATTTCTGGATGGGACCGATTTTCTTTATTTCGTAATGAGGCTAAGCGCTGTCATTTCCTCAAAATACTGACTTCATTCAAGATTTTGTTCATCCCAGCGATTATTGCTTTCGATAAAGAACCCGCACTTTAACGTACCAAAACTGAAGCAGACATAGTCGCTCGTAAACAATTCCACATTGTATCAAAATTCTTTCGTAACTGTATCTCGTATGTCAGAATTTTTATGCGTACCCTAATTTTCATCACATTTTATCGAAACTTTTTCCCCAGAAAATTTCGTAAATCCTGATTTTAAAACCACTTTCCTACAGTGCTAGGTTTTGCTAAAGATCGGTGACTATAGGTAGGGGAAATGCTTGACATTTCCCAGGTTACGGAATTTCGTGCTTGCTTGATATAGAAAACATAAACAAAATGCACGAGTTGAGAAAGTCTTATAAGTTTGGGTCGATAGTCTGAAAAAATTGACAAAACAGGGTTGTTTCTATTCTAAAACTTGTACAGAAGATTTGCAAGTCCTATCGGCAACTTGAAATTAATAAATTGGAAGATGGGGGAGGGGGAAGGTAATTTCGAAGGCAAAATAATCAAGCACTCTGGTTTCCATTTCGCAACTAGCTAAGTCTACTTTTCTTATTCTCTGTGCAAACAGTGAGTATTTTTGTGTATATATGATGAGGATTACTGTCCTTTTCACTGAATTCGTCAACAGTTTTAAATTTCATAAAATTTTTCAACTAAGAAGCCCTACAAATTTCCTTATTTAACCTTTCAAAATCATGTACCCATTGCTTCAACCAGATCGACGGCTGGAAGGCGGGGCTTTGTGACCTAATTAAGGCTTGGAAATGATCAGAGAGCATGTTCGCGAAAAAGGCGCAGACTGCGTCGCGGACGCAAGCAGTCGCCTCCTAGGTCATGAAACCCCGCCTTCCAGCCAATCTGGTTGAAGCAAAGGATAAATCTGTTCCTCTTAACTCCTTTTAAACCCTTTAGTTCGTCATGATTCGCGACCGGTGCTTTTTCTGGGCAGCCATTCTTTTTTGACTGAATTTCTGCGAAAATGTTGGGATGTTTTCATCTAAAAATTTAAGGATAAGGACCACAGCGTCGATCTTGCAAATCGTTCGGAGCAGGAATACGTGAAAGAGAAGCAGAAGGAAGGACTAGAGGAAAAAGACGAGGGCAAAGCGGAACGGTCGAACAGAATTCCTCTCGAACAGACCATACCGAGAAGTAAGCATTGCTTGTTTAGTTGATAAGCTTACAATTAGTCTGATTAGTTATGTTTTTGTAAGGCTTCGCTTGATTACTTATACCGTATGGGATCAAAATCTTTGAATCTGCTGTCCTATGTAGGGGGGTTATCTGACAGTTGATTATGGATTACCATTTCCTTATGATAGCTTCCGAGGGTGCGGATTACTGTAAGTACATGGTTGGAAACTAACTCAACCTCATAACGAAGGTTGACATAAACGAGTGGATGTAGTATTAGGTTGGCACATAAGTTTTACAACTTTTCCCATAACTTTCTCTCAATGTAGCACCCTCATTCTCCAGCATCATGTAGAGTATGATGTAAGCTGCAAGTCTGCGCAAACCGTTTGATTTATGATAACGTAGTAGAATTCAAGCATTTTTCGAAAATCCTTGAAAATCGAGGTTTCACGGTTTTTTGGGAAACATGAAGCTGTACAAAATCTGAATCAAACATATCCATAGGAATCATAGGCGGCATATAGCTAGAAGTTGACGCATTAGTATCAGTAGAAATGGAATGTGATTTGAAGACAAATTAAGAGAAAGAGAGCTTGAGAAGTAGAACAAGCTAAATGCGTCAAGGGTTGAGGGCAAACTGCCAATAACTAAGCTGCGAAACCCTAGAATGCTAAAACCTTGCACAATATGGTAATCCAATACGATGAACACGAATATCATATTCATTTGTCGCTAAGATAAAGTTATTTTCATGACCTTACGAAAGAGGAATGTCTATGCGAAACGGGTCTCATGTTTGTGATGAGCACGTCCAATGACTCCCATGGGGCAAGCTTCAGCAAAATCTGACGCAATTTAAAATTTTTCCCATTATGCCGTAAACCTACCGTAATCCTTACGTAAGATGGCAAAACTCGGCAAAAATTGTCTCCTTTTGCAGTTTACATCGTAATACTTACATAACCAGAAAATGAATGCGCTACGCTCAGACAAAGTTATATAAAAAAGTTGCATTACTTATGTGCCAACTCAATATTATGGAATCTTTGCATATTAGTATGTGACAAGCATGTCATATAAACCTTTGAGCATAGCAGCAGAAATTTTGAGAACTTTAGCTTTTGCATATACCTACCGTAACCCCATGAAAATGCTCTATTACACGAACTGAACATCACTATCGCAACTGTATTGCAAAAATCTAGCAAAATCGAAGACTGCACATTTTTAGTCAGTAGTATGAGTTATTTTTCAGTCTTCTGCAAATTTGAAGCGTAAGCTCAGCTTGACGAACTTTCAGAAATGATCATCTTTACAGAGAAAGTCTCAGAACTGATTGCAAAGTTCAACAGAGGTAATGTTGAGAACGAAGCAGTCAACTGGAGATACAAAACTGGTGAGTCAAGCAATCATTGGGTTATCCCTGTACAATTGTATCGGTGGAATCCGGCCAAAACTGCGCGATTTGCGCGGTTTGCGAGATTCGCGCGATTTAGTTATAATTTCCTCTAAAACAACTTCATTTGGAACCTGCAAAAAGATTTGGCTTCAGCTTGATGAGACGAATTTTTAGTATACATCCTGCCCGTAGTCCATGGTGATACGGTAGACATATAATATTACTTTGTTAATTTCAAAATTTGTTGAGCAACAGTAATAATCTCGTAACACATGCCTGTACAATACAATGCATCATGGAAAACGGGCATAATGTATACTGCAGGATTCGTCTCATCAAGCTGAAGCCAAATCTTTTTGCAGTAAATAAACTTGTTTCAGAAAAAATTATAACTTAATCCCGCAAATCCAGCAAATCTCGCAAATCCCGCAATTATAGCCGGTTTCCACCGCTACAACTGTAGAGAAGATCTTACCACCTTTCGTTAGTATTAGTCACGTACTGAATGTTGAGATTTGATTACAGATTCTGGTATTAGAACAGTGGGAAAAGTTCAGTCGTCATTCTTCAACTAGACCGATGGGTATACCCTAAATTCGCATTTCAAGAAGACTTTCTGCGATTTGACAAGCTACTTCTGCGGTGTGAATATTCCAATAAAAATGTTAGTTTATATCCTGATCATTTGGACTTTTGAACTGAAGATATTTTCAATAAAAATCGTTCGTAAAAGCTAACGCTTTTTATTTGAAAAGCTGTTCTCAACATGCGATTTATTGCTTTCATGAGTCAGCATGTGATTTGCGAGCCATAACACATTGCGGAATGTGAGCTAATATCACATGCAGAAAGTGACGTATGGCTAGGAAATTACAAGGAAAACTGAAGTTCATGGAAGTGAAAGCAATCACGTAAACATATTTATAGCACTAAGCTGGCAAATTACACAAATTGAGTGATTAATTTTGCCCTGAAGTTTGCAGATTTCATTTGAATGTCGTTGGTCAGCCCCCATTTGATCGAAATTCATAAGACATTGGCTATAGCACCTTTCTGTTCTACTTATCTAATCAAGCGAATAATAGCTTCTTAGATGATTCTTCTTTAGCCAAATGAGCAAAAAACCTAAGATAGCGTACCTGCCGCTAACATGTTAGTTTGAATGCTGTAAAAGATCATTATCATTGCTAAAATCAGAATTCTTTACCCTGCTAATCGGATGTTTATGTATAAATTAATCAAATGTATGTAGCAGTGACGGTTCCAGCTTCGGGGAGGGAGGGGAGCGGGGAAGACAGAAATTTTTTTGACCAAGCGTTAACGCATTCCAAAAAAAATTTTTTTTAAGATCCTTTCCAAAATTTTTGCGGGCCCATAACTTTGAATTCCAAAAAGGAGGGGGGTTTGACGGCAGATACGGCCCCTAAAAGTTTTTTGCAAGGCTAGTTTGAATTTGGAAAATTTTGAAAATTATTTCGTCTATTCATAAGAATAAAAGTAAAGGTCACTCACGCATTTTTGAAACTCATGTGGACGATTTTTCACATTTTTCGCGACCCATTCCCGCCCCTCCCCCCCCCCTCACCTCCATCGGTCCGCCATCGGTATGTAGCTATTCTATTGCAAGCTGACACTTGAATTTTTGGAGACTCCAAGAATCAAAAAGAAAGGAAATAGTTGATTATTAGGTTTGAATAAATGTCTTGCACCTCATTCGTTTGTGTTAATAAATTCATTTGATTGATGCTTTGAGAAGAATCGTTGACGGGAAACCTTGTCAGAAATATCAAAACAATTGATGGGAACATTTCGCTATTCAACTATCAATATTGCTATTGAAATTTGGTCACGAAATCCGCTACAACTTTAATCGTATTTGCTTTCTTTTTGATTTTATGACTCACCCTTTGTAGTGATAAAACTCCTACTATCGACTTCTCTATGAGCACCAATCATCATTAAGTCTTCGAACCTTCCAAATTACTTTTTTTGAGCAGAAACAAGCTGCATATAATACTAGGAATAGTTGCTTTTGAAACGTTTTACAACTTCCTTTTGAGATTTGCTTGGCTTTTTGTGCTAAGAATTTAACCTGCGTTTTCAGTTTCGTTTGGATGTTTCGTTGCAAAAGAAATATTCATTTGCATCATTTCAGACTATTTCAAAATTTCTGATACCTAGACTTATCAAATAGATAAAAAGGAGTAATTTTTAACAGAAAAGCTGACAAGGGTGGCAACATTTTCAAGGGAGGGGTATAGTGAAATTCTAGTTTTTCTTGATGACTCAGGTTTATGGGCATATAGGCAATCATGCAAGAACGTCGATGACACGCTAGGTTCAGCCTGATGTAAGTTCGATTATTTTGAATGTCAGCATAAGTAAAAAGTGTGCTTTGATGAGCAGATGTAGAATTTGTAAATCTCTGCATTTTTTTTTCTACCAGTAAGCATTGAATTAGTAAAAAAAGCACAGTTTGAAAGATTCATATATTATATTTTGCTGTAATATCGACACAACAAATAAGAAGTGACTTGTCCTTCCTCATATCGTCTTTCGTCATGTATAAAATCCTTTGCAGCCTTTTCAAGAATCGTTGCCCGATATTTGATCATGGGACTTGAGCAAATACGCCGCAGATGGCTATGTTCGGTGCAACGTCTTTCTTGCTCCATATATCGCGTGAATATCCCCTTTCGTGCAAGGATTTTTCGACAAAAATGCTCTCGGCCCTATTCGGGTTTGCTTTGAGCTGCTCTCATGCACAGTTTTCTCTCTTCCGACCTTTGCATAAGTCATGCTTGACGATCGTTGTTGACTCAGTACATTACCCATATCCGTGGTGTGTAAATATTAGACAAAAATCCACCCGACTTTTTGCACTCTGCTGACCTCGCGTTGTAAAAAAAACGTCAAAGCACACGTTTTTGTTTCGCTCGGATTACATTTTCTAAAAAATCCAGAAAAACTCGAAATCTTGAAAATATTTGTTTTCTTTGTTCTTCAAACAACTATCGTCCCAAACGAGTCCAGAATTGTTAGTGATAAATAGTGTTCGAGGGTGTTCAGCAAAATCTTCAATGACTAGTTATGAGCTAGAGTGACACTGACCCTCCCCCCCCCCCTCGTTATTACTCACTATCATACTCATTTTCATTTCACAATAAAGTGTTGTACTAAGTAATCCTCTTCTCTCACTAGTTCTCTCGAAATGCATCTATCATGAAGTCGTAAAGGTACTCAGCACATGTGATAATGTTTTTTCTTGAACTGATAACTGATTACATATGACTGACATTGTCAGAATAATATCTAGCAACGCTATTTCTGCTAATTTCTCCTACCCATCCGGGTCTTTTCGTTTATTTTTTTATGCTTCAAAGAAAAAACTTTTTAGCTCTGTCTTGGTCAGCTACCGAGATACCGTAACCTTTTTGCTATAACTTGTAAAATCGAGCACGTTTCGTTTGCTGTGTGCAATTGCACATTTTCCAGAATGAGCTCAATCATGAGGTTCAAATGGAGTTTTTCTTGTATTTTTTCTTGGTTTTCTTCGTTGCTTGATCAAAGTTGTCTAACTAAGCATAAATTATACATTTTAAGCATTCCTTATATGAGATGCAGCCGCTCCGTCATCAAAATCTGGAAATTGTGAAGCTGCACATATTAGAACAGAAACCTACTCCAATTACGCTCCTAACTTTTGAGGAAGAACGGATTGCGATAAATTCTTCCGTGATGACGTAATGATCGTGACAAACCCGTCGGGATTTTAAAACTTTTAGGATATAGAATAAGTTTCATAATCTTAAAATTCTTTCGAATTTATTTCAAATCCATCTCAAAAACTTCTATTGTTGCTGTCACAAACTATCTATTTGTCGCAACAAAACCGTCGCAGAGCGATAACGTCCTTTATCAGAAGTTCCTCTTATGAGCAAACCACTGGGTGTGTGGCCAATTTCTGACTTAGTTTTTCTAAAAATCAAAAAATATTCAGCGATTATTTAGACTGTTGTCGACCATCAAGTACTGTACGTACCTTAGCTAAGAAGTGTTGTCACTTATCATTCCACAAACCAAATTACATCTGAACAACCAAGTTCAAGAAAAAACACACTAGTATACCTGGCCAACTCTTGGACATTCTGGAAAGTGTGTGATTGCACACATTAGCAACCAAACCTGCTTGACTGTATTAGCCATTAGAACTAGATTCATTGGACGATACCTTAAGCCATTTCATTCGTGCAAACATCTAATCATTGATACAAGAAATAGCACGAAATTTCAGAACTTCTTTGACCTTTCAAATTTTTTTCTAGCCTACCTCCCCTTTCCTCACCCCTTTCTGCGCCTTCCCCAACGTCCAGCAGGGAAAGTGAAAATCTTGCTGTTTATGACGTGACTAGCTACACTCTTTGCAGTCTTGCGCACAAAATTTTCCGAACAATTATGGCTCTTGAAGGCTTCGCAAATCAAAAATGCTTCATATAGTGCGAACCTTTCCCAAAAATTTCAAACGGGATAGCCGCTCGCTGGCCGGTCGGCCGGCCGGCCGAACGTCCTCATCTCGACTTCCACGCACGTGCTCAAGAGGGCGATAACATGCCTCTTTCGCCACAGCGCTATTTCGTTTGTCTTGAAAGTCCCCTTCAATCGCTGCTTGCGCCTCTTCAGCCCTATTTACTAACGAATTTCTCGTGAGCATGTCGTGGAAATCAGCTGCCAACCGTTATCACTTGAAAATTGCTGCATGAGCCATGAACGCTAGACGACGATGGCGAGCTATGGTTAGCAGCGAGAATGGAGTGACGGAGTGACGAGTCAAACAATATTTTAGCATTTCTGACTTCTCGGGTTGTCGACTACCCTTGCGCGGCGCTTAATGGCGATAGGGCGCGAAATCTTGATATATATCCTTATTTACACGTTGTTGTCGACAAAAAAATGTTGTGTGCACCAATGGATTCACTACAGTAACTTATTCAACGTCAGAGTACCAGCATCCATTGAAGAAATTGTGCCTAAATTTTCTGCATTCCAATCATTTGTTCATTGCTTCCAAGATATAGGGCATTCGAAAAATCGTGACGATGAAGCGACCGCACGCGACACGCACGCACTCCCGACAACTGCGTTTTCTTGGGCTTCATCTTTACTTGAGCGGTTTTAATATTTGCATATGAAAGTATTTATATATTGGAAGTGACTGAGCTGAGAGTTAAGGTGATACCTTCTTGTATGCGTATTTTTCGTCCTATGAGAGCAAAGACCGCAGTCAAATCCGTCGCCACGATTTTATGAATGACCTATAGTCTTTTCCTACAAGGGAAGGATACCAGCTCGCAGTAGCGAATGGAAATGTATGCGTATCATTAAATGCGTTTCGATGAGTTGATTCCAAATCTAACTTCCACAACTTCTAAACTTTTCTCTAGAATAAGTGTGTTGAATGCAAGTTCGGCATACATCTAGTAGCACATCTTCGAGAACTACCTGTTCGAAAACACTTATCTATGTTTTGGGTGTATGTAGGCATTCCTCGTAGTAAATGCACTCAAAACCATGCCAATTAATCACTCTCAAGCTGGTTTCCAAAGGCATCAAAACCCCATTAACTTTACATCCTTAACCCCCTGTACCTTTTTTTAGAGGAGCCCTTAGCAGATAAGAAAGGTAGACTTGGAATCAGTTCATTAAGACGCATTTAAAGGTAGGCATATCATTTCGGTTCGCCACCTCGACCTGTTATCCTTTCCTTGTTAGCAATAACTAATAATCGCATGGAGCCTAAGATGTGTAGGTTTATTTGCTGTAACAACCATCAATCAACTATAAAACATGCGCAGGGGACCCGGGCAAATGTTGCGGGCCACCTGTGACCCGCCTCAGCAGCATTCAAATATAGACATGCATGAAATTTGAGCCAATAAATTGCTAGTTCACTAACCCTCGTTAGTCCTATATACAGGGTGTCCCAAAAAAATGTTAACATTGTTTGATCGTTAATAACTCCCTCGACTTCATGTCTTTCGACGAGCTTTAGGCACCTTTCTGTAGAGCGAGGTTCAACTTAGATACACAGTATGGAGCGAATTACCGTTCGCTCTTCGTTACTGTAGGATTACGGTAAGAACTTCGAGCATGTGGAACCGTCGTGAAATATGCCCTCTGACAAAATTTTTCTCAAAAAATCTGAAAATTTGTGTACTAGGGTTTTCACGCATGCTGATTCCACCCAACAACTTTTTACGAGTGTTTTCAGCTTGTTTTACGGCGTAATCACATTTTTGACACATGCTGGGAAGTCAGTTATTACACTTTACCTAGGATAACTTTGAAAAGAAGTATCATAATAAAGTGGAACTTTCATATCCGAAATCAGCGGCTTTCATTACCATAGTACAAGAGATTTTGGCTTGTTTGGCTCTGTTTCGAAGCAGGAAAGGTCTTTAATGGCCTAAAATCCTTGCCAACATTCCTACCATAATTCTACAGTAACGAGGGGCCTTGTGAATCTAAGTTTATCCTCGCTCTACAAAATGGTACCTAAAGCAAAGACTCGAAAGTAAGAGAGTTATTAACGACCAAACAGTGTTAACATTTTCTGGGACACCCTGTATATAGCGCATCAACAAAAATTTTGAGATTAGCTAGGATATTGTTCGATATCGTCAACACCAGGAAATGCTATTCAAATCATACTCAAAATCAAACTTACCTCAATTCCTTAGCAACTTTTAGATATTCTTACAATAGTGATACCGTAATTTTGAAAGTATTGGAGCTATTAACAGCCTCTTAAGGACGAGGAAAGATATCAATTTTCAGTATGAAAGGAATCACACATGATAGTACGCAGTTTTGATTACCTTCTTAGAAACTTGTGTAAAAGCCGAAAATTCTAAGCTTGCAGTTATTGGTAGGTTCCGTTCCGATGGGCCGTACCACGTATAACGGTAACCACCAATATACCTTATCATAAATGAGATTTACCGGAAACGATAGGAACGGTACTTTTCTACTTCAGGCTACGAGAACATCTCCAAATTTCTTCACAGCAGGTTTTCTTTTAGTTTTGGAAGGACTGCTGATAAAATGCTTATCACATTTGAAGTAAAGCTGCAAAAAGTTGAAACTTGAACCTCGTGGGCCCTTTTACTACTTTGAACTTTTTTAGTATCGGATTCGAACCCTTATTTTCTAGAGTGCGATGTCAAAGCGTAGCAAATCACCAATAATAAATCAATATGCTCTAACCTCAGACTCTACCATTCGTTATTCGGATGAGCCCCCAAGCGAACGAAGCAATCAGAATTGAACCTCGAAACTGGAAAAGATTTCGAGGCTTAGTTTTGATCCGAAAATGATATAGATACATAGGAGAATCGAATGCTAAGTAACATAGATTCTTCAACAGTATAATCAGTGTTCATTAGAACTCAAAAAAACAGTAAAATTCTGCGCTCATTTGAACAAGGCTGAAAATGTCTTGGAACGGTAGTTTAGGAAAAGCTATTTCGCATCGATTGTCATTCAATTCGCAATGATGATATTATGTGAAAATCAAAAAATTCTGATAAATTAGGTGACTCTCTGAGCTTTACGACCTCATTAACTTCTGTGCAATTTTGTTTATTACCATTCTATTTTCGACCTCGCATACATTCTAGCTTTTTGCCCGTGATAGCCAATTTATGGCTGGTAGCAAATGTGTTTACTTTTTCATCGAAGATGAGTGTTGAGGTCAAAAAATGAACAGCAGATATGATCAGCTCATTTCAACTCTGTTGTCATGCTAACTTAGCCTTGGTATAATTGTACATAAATAGGGTACGTATCAAAAAAGGATTATCTTCTGATTCATTAAATGTTCCCCCCCCCCTTTAAACAAAAATCTAGTAACTCAACTAATCTTGCAAGCTGAACATCTTAAGCGTGTATGTGTAAATCTCATTAGCTCATTATGCAGTTAAAATATTCTATACATCTACCATATGCCCAGCGTAACCCAAAAATAGCGTTAATTGGCGCAATTTATAGTAGTTTTGATTTGGATATGCCAATCAGCCTTTTGTGCAGTATTTAGGAAAATCCATGATTTTGACTCTTCGGATTTCGTTACGCGGAGTACAGTTTAACTAATTAATCAATTAAATAATTATTTATTTATTTATTTATGAATCTAGAATACATTGAAACGCTGTCAGGAGCAACGATTAGACAATTAGATATGGTTTGTTTCTTCTGAAAACATATGTTCAAATAAGCCCAGAATTTCTTAGAAAAGACACACTTGGTCATTCCTTCTAGCCTCAGAGATTTGAAATTTGACTCTTACCGCCTGTCAATCTAAATTAAGACAGGACCACTCAAAGGTTAATCTTCGACACTTTGCAGTAAAACGCAACACAAGAGGGATTGATTCATTTTATGACTTTCTCTCTCATTTTTCTTTTCATGTCTTATCGCAAATAATGCCTCCTGTGATAGCGGGTGATGTTCTTCCGATAAGCCGAATTCGATTTTTCGTGATAAAGGCTTTTCTTTGCAACTCCACACAAACGAGATTACATCATTTTCAGCTATGTTTTCTACAACGATTAGACTGACTTGTCCTTGTTAAATGTAGCCTTATCACTCAGTTGCAATATATTGCGTAATATATCAATATCCTAAAACATCCAAAACCAGCTTTCTTAGCCCCTGTTTTAGGCAGCGCGGTTTCGTGCCGATTATTTGGTGAAATCCCCGTCAAGTCGGATAATCACATTCGTCGCCAAAGTAAGTTCTAGGTCATCTTATGTTCCACTTCATCAACCTCTCTTTCATGACACCATTTGTTTCAAACTTATCTCTTTCTCTCTTTCTCTCTCGTTCCGATGAAACATCGCGCTTGTCTCGCTACCGAAAAAAGTAAAGGTGATGGAAACCGGACAAGCTACCGTATTTGAGATAGACTGTGGTATGATAGAGCTATTGGACTTGTTAAGTTTTTTTATAGGATTCAAGCAGCAAAGATGATATCATCATTTGGGAGGAATCCAAAGTATGTAACTTTTCAATGGATATTCTAGAATTTCCCAAAAGCATTCCTTTGAGGACCTTTTACATAGTTTGTTTAGAGCAGAGCTCGGCACTAGATGGCTTTCCAAAAATGCAAAAAACAAAGTTTCCCTTGACTTTCGCAAAATTTTGCGAAGTTCCCTTTGACCCTGAACTTTAAACGTCAAAAAAGCTCAAAAAACGAGTGGAGTGTAAAACGTAGCGATTTTTGTGTCTTTTCGGACACTGAAAAGGATATCCCCTTTGCTTTTTCCAGCTTGCTTACAAAGTCACCTATGCTGAGCCCTGGTTTAGACGTAAAATTTGCTGTAATTGTGCAACATAACAAGTTACTGAATTAAATCAAACATTACCATGCGCTAAATAATTGTAGAGAGTTAAATAAGCAAAATATTGAGCTAGATTGGATTAAAGGCAAGGACTGCTAATACAGTTCGCAAAAGTGCAAATTAAGTACAACAATAAAGTTCGGAAAGTGTTTAGTCATAACTCCTAGATTCTCATTCTCCTTCCCCATTCTCCTTCCCAGATCTTTTCCCCTATTTCCCTTCGGGTCTTGTTATCCCACAGCAATGAACAAAATGCCACTTCCAGTAATATGGAGATACGTGACAGCCTCTGTGACTTGGGACGTATGGAGATCCCACGACCCCAATTTCAGGGTATGCAGTTTGTAGCAACACGAGGAAAATTTGGCTTTTATAAGGCTAGTTGCTTATTTTGGGTAATATGGAGAAGATTGATTGTATTTCCAGACAATACGCGAAAATGGCGGCAAATATGGAATTCAGGTGAAACCTCAGGGACCGCGCAGACCTGCTTTGAGTAATGAAGTATACATGAAGTATGTTAGTTGCGAGACCTTGAATTAAATATTTGCACTTAAGAAAATTGTTTCAAGAAACAGATAAAAATTGAAAATAAATCAAACCAATCAACCGAAAGGAAAAGGATGTGTAGTGTTTTCTATAACAACATTTCTTGCATAATCTATACTTTTGTCAGATCCATGTAACACTGAGGACATAACATATTTTTACCGCCTTTGGTTCATTAGAAAATCAATCTCGAAAGTTTTTAAAGGCTCTTGTCATGGCTCATTCTTCGGGTTCCGGAATAAATAACGGAACCACTTTTTCCTAAATAAATCACGGTTATCATCTCATGACTTTAGACTTATTTTGCCATGTTAGCCATCAGCTGAATTTTCTTATAACTAGCAAGCTCTTACGATTGAAAAAAAAACGAGGAAGCTTCTATCAGACTTCCGCATTCTATAATGTGATGTAGTGATTTATTGCTATATTTAAAGTCAAATTTATCATAGCAACATGCTTTTGAAATGTTTAGGCATCTTCTTGTCCCAAAATTCCAAATGTTGGAAGGATAATTTGATATCTGAGTATGATCCATTGACCTCTAATACTTTCTTTTCACCATCTTTCCAACGGTGGGGTACTTTCTGATTTGACCAGCATAGCTTACATTGCTGTTGCCGTTTCCATAGTGGTTACATTCAGAAAATTAGACCCTTTATTCCATCCTTTCATATAGTTCTTCAAAAATATGTACTAGTCTGAACTTGTAAAAAACGGCCATTTCTTGTCTAATCTGTCCTTTGGACAGATTGAGAGGGGTAGAGCTCGGAATTATTGCTTTTAACAATGCAATAAAAACCGATGAACTGTAAAACGATGTGAATTCTGGAAAAGTTTTATAATAAAAATAGAAAAAAACTCCATTGCAGACCAGGACGACGAAAGGATGAAGAAGGTGCGGATAACGCACCCCCTCTAGTACCTCCTATGAGATCAGCCGAAGGGCAATTGAGAAGCGCACCAGTAAGTAGAATTTCATAGCATATGTAACATTCTTAAAAAAGCAAGTTGTTTGTAGTTCTCACTGCAAGAACATTATATCAAGCTTCAAATATGCTAGATCTACCTTTATCAAAACTTCTATTGGGTTGCCCCATAAGCTCCGTTCGCTATCAATTTTCATCACTAAAATTCCCAGTTTTTTTTTTCTTGATTCCTGAAAATACCTTGATATTTTTTTGATAGTTCAAAGCAAGCTCTACAAATTGGCATCCAAATATTTGCACAAAGTAAGTTCCACACTGGGATAAAAATCAAAATAAAAACTATCAAAAACCGAAAATTCCAGAATTCATAACTCTGCACAAAAACTGCTCTAACTGTTCACGCATATATGCTCTCCATGTAATATTTTTATATGCCTGCGGTGATTTTTTCCAGCGCTGGAAAATGAAGAACGGAAATAGGCTAAAAATACGGATATGTCGCTTTTTCGGATTTTTACGCTAAATTGGAAATTTCTCGAAAAAAAACTATTGCATAAAGAAGGCTGAAAATCTGTGCTTATACTTCTTAAGGCACATGCTATACAATTACCTATATAGGAGCAGCACAGCATCGCCTTAAAAAAAACATCCGAAATTCATTTCTTCCATTTCTAGCGATGGAAAAAAATACAAAAAATATGCATGTGAATGTTAGATGAGGTATGTATATGCGTGTATATGTATGCGTGAACAAGTTAGAGCTTCCTAGAGCTTTTAAGCAGAGTGATCTTTTTTCCCAGGCTTTTTGATTTTTGACTTTCGATCTCTAATTCAATGTAGAACTAAGTCTACGCAAATTTTTGAGGCATTTTGTATCTTGCTTTCCTCATTGAAAGGTATCCAGAGCTTTTCTAATGATTTAGAAACATGGTATTGGATTGAAAAGTGGAAACGACTCCACATATGGGAAAACCTGATATACAGGGTGTCCCAAAAAAGTGCCTACTGTTTGATTTTAAGTAATTACCTTGTTGCGAAGTCTTTGGAGAAGCTAGGACGAAACTCGTCTCTCTTTATTATTGTAGTATTACGGTAGATCCCATGGGGTCATATTTTGGCTCGGAAAGGAAACAGAACGTCCTAAAAATTTTTACATTAAGCTAATCAGAGTGGCTGATTTTAAATATAAAATTTGCATCTCATTATAATGTTTCCTTAAAAATCTATGCCAGGAAAGCAGTAGCAGCCGTTCTTTCGATGTTCCTAAAAAAAATGTGGTCGCACCGTTTAGAACGCTTCAAGTCTTGTACAATGTTGAGTATTGAACTCGGCGTCCATGAAAACCTCTTACATGAGTTTTCAGTTTTTTTTTTCGAAATTTTTCAAATATGACAGTCTTCTCGCAGTGACGTCACATACCGAAAGTTCCTACTAAGTTCATAGTAATGGAGAGCGATCGGTAATTCGCTCTATACCTTTGTCTACAAAATGGTACCTAAAGCTTCTCGAAAGACTTCATGATTCTTCAAAATTTCTACACAGTCACAATAATAAACGTCCTTATTTGCTTTGTGGGTAAAAATACACATTCTATGCCAGATCATATTCTGCGCAAAAACGTGGCTACTTGATCTCTCATGCATTGACTTTTCCGCTGTTTGTGACCACTAACATGCACTTATGAATTCTGCGTGACCACTTGAGTCCTCTATTCATCCCTCTACTCTAAGCTAGCAATTTTTCTGCGAAACTTTGCTAAGTTAGCTAAGCAAATTCAAATTCGCTGAATCTTGATAAAATCGCTAGCAGATGTACACAAACAAGGATGTTAGGAAGTTTCCCCTTAAATTTGAAATAATACGTCCTTATTTGCTTTGTGGGTAAAAATACACAGTTTCCCCTTAAATTTGAAATAACGTCCTCATTTGCTTTGTGTGTAAAAATACACATTCTATGCCAGATCATATTCTGCGCAAAAACGTGGCTGATAAAATCGCTAGCAGATGTACACAAACAAGGATGTTAGGAATTTTCCCCTTAAATTTGAAATAATACTACTGTGCTGCATCTCACCGCTGTAATCAATAACCTTAGTATTGTTTTTATAGCTAGAAAAACTTTGTTGTGAAAGTTCAGACAGAGCCGCCCCTCAATTTTCATTAACGTGAAGCGTGTCGAGACGCGCGATACCCAATGGCAAGCTAAGGACAGTATAATTGGTGACCATGCCTTTCGCATGAGGTTCGCCTTGAAACGCTGATCCAGGACTCGGTACGAGGTGGCTTGGCTAGTTGAAAATGCAAAAAACGAAGTCTCCCTTGAATTTTGCGATTTTTTACGAAGTCCCTTTGACCCCAGACCAAAATCTCTAAATCCTCCAAAAAACGAAACGTCGACTAAAAAAACGTCGCAAATTTCGGTCTTTTCGGCCACAAAAACGAAACCCCTTTGCTTTTTGTCCCAAAAACGATATCCAGCTTGCTCGTAAGCCATCTATGCCGAGCCCTGCGCAGATCTCAAAACTGTGTTTGATCTGCGAACGATTTTCCAGAAAAACCGTATCTGCTCACATCTGACGTGTTTGCCAAGAGTACGAGTAACATTCGTTATGTTCTCTGTCGGTGCATTTTTTTGTGTTTTCTTCCACAAACGCTAATTCTTCTCAAAAAAGCTTTTCGCAGATAATGAACATAATCTCGAGATTAGCGTTTTGAGACGTGCATTCTGATGTACAATATATTTCAAAAGGTCACGGTCACTAATTATCGTTCCCTTGTAAGAACAGGGTGCGGCTACATTCGCCTCTGCCGTCCTGTGCCCGTATTTAACATTAGAACTGAGGTGATTTTCCTTGAGGTATCGTCGATTCGTTGACCGCACGACTGTTCCAACGCTGCGGACCACGCGCGGTGCTGCTGGCATGTTGCGAGAGCACGATTTGTGGAGGCTGCAGCACGACGAAGGCGCAATATCTTTAGGCGCGAACGCCGCTTTATTGGCCGCCGAGCGCGTTAGGCGCAAGATCTACAAGGGCGAAGGTACGCGCGCGCCGCGTTCGCGGCCGCTTAACCAATACCGCATTCGTCATGCCGTAGCCTTTAAAATGGCGAATTTGCAATGGAGCAAGCGTTTTAACACGCGGCGCGTGCTTCGCAGTGATGTCTAGTCCGTGCGGTCAAGAATTTACCATAGATACATCACACTACAAAGTACTTTGAAGCTGATTGATGGACAATGTACGTCAAGGTTAACTCTAGTGCCAGCGTGATAATTACTGGCGTTAATTCGAAATACGTGAGATCTTAGAGCGCAAGAAGTTTCTTAATGCTTGTCATACTTTTTATTATAGCGAATCATGTATTCTGTACACAGTGTCAAAGACAAGAAAGTACTTTTTATAGGCAGGGATTCCAGATACAAGTGTGTTTTTATACTTTGCAGGATTACAGTGACGCTCCATGGGTGTCTTCTTAGTGCAGAAGCTGATCTTGCAAGATATCAACGATGTTTTAAACTAAAATATCGCTTTTGGAGACAGAGAATAATTTTAACGCGCAACTGCAAATATGTGAAATCGAAAAACCGCGTTGGTTAAAACTACGAGGCCGTTGGATCTGAAGCTAGAGTTGGTTTTGAAAAGCACTGATGTGAACTGGTATCTCTTAGTTCAGAAAGTAGCTTACTATGAATTCATCATGTTTCTCCAAAGAGCTCCCAAAAGCGTAGAAAGTGCCAGTAAACCCTCTTTGCGACAGCAACTTCGCTTAAGACCTAAGGCATACCTCACGCGATTTCAATCGCTGCGCGATCTGACATTGCAACGATTCTTTATGAATGATCGCAAATGCGCTTTGCTTGGGCCAGACTTGCTGCGTTTGCTACAACTTACGGAGTGTACGCGCCCATGCATTTTAGACCCGCGTATGGTTTATCTGTTGACATCTGGCAAATCGCCAAGTTGCGTGGATGTAGCGACTTGTAATCGCGAGAAGTATGCCTTAAGCTTGAGCCGTAGTTTTCTCAAGGGCAGTGGATCGGCAAAATGGTCCCTCCTCGGATTTTGAAGGATTTAGGTAATAGACCCTCCAAACACTGTACCCCCCCCCAATTGCCAAATCGCGCGCTAAACCCTGAAAATGCTTCAAAAGTCCTCCGGCCCCGCGCACTTCCACTGAGTGTGCGAGACCGGTGAAGATCCGAGAAATGTCCATTTTGCCGATCCAGCTGTCTTTAAACGTTCCTCAACATTGAAAGTGATTATAGAGCGAGGAAACAAACTTGTTGCCTGTAAATCCTATATAACAACTGTGACTAGGGCTCGGCACAGGTGGCCTCATAACAAGCTAGATATCTTTTTTGGGGCAAAAAGCAAAGGCGGTTCGTTTTTGTGGCCGAAAAGACACAAAGTTTGCGACGTTTTTTAGTCGACGTTTCGTCTTTTGGAGGATTTAGAGATTTTGGTTTGAGGTCAAAGGGACTTCGTAAAAAATCGCAAAATTCAAGGGAGACTTCGTTTTTTGCATTTTCAACTAGGCACCTCGTGCCGAGCCCTGACTGTGACGCAACATAGGAAGCATGAAGTAATTTATTTGGCAACAGAGAACAGAAAAGTGTTTATCGTTAGTTGCAAAAAGTTTGAATGGGACGAACGACCATGCATGATGCTTCGAAGAACTTGCCGACAAAGATAGTCTTGATAAATATGGATAAATGAAGCCGTTTGGACTGAAACGTGTTTTGGAATTCACATTTTAGCTGGCATCTTCTAGCGCTTTTGCGCACTTCTGAGTGCTTTGCGGCACTTAGCAGCTTTAGAGCACTTTCTGGCAACGTTTGAACGGTCCTTCAGTGAAAATGGAATTTATTCGTCACATCCTCCCCATGCGTTTGGCAATGATGAGATTAGAACGAAAATTACTACGATGCAATTAGCTTGAAGTGCTATCTCAAGGTACAACTCACCTCGAAGTATTATTTTGGTAATCATCAATGTTTGTCTCTTAAAATTCAATATTCTGTACCAGCATGATAAGGACTGAGGTATATTAGGAGCATGGCATGACGTAGTTGCGATAGTTGTTTTCGTTTGTACTCGCATGATATATTCACAAAAAACGTCTGGTCTTCAGGCTGCCTAGTATAATAATCATAGATTCTGAAAAGAATTGTCGATCAACTATCCCAAGCTCCAAGGTTTGATCTTGACAATTAACAACTTCCAGCTATTTTTGCGTGAATCCAATAGATTTTTGAGTCTAGTTAAATAAGCGAGGAACATGGTCAATACATATGTTTTCAATTATTGACATACCATTTTGATCGAAAACATCTAAGCTGCAAATCTTTTGCCTCATTTTTTAATGATATTATTTTGTGAACTTCAATGGTGCGCGAAAGTTCTGTTGAAACACTTCTGCCTAACATTTTGATATCTCCACAATTCTTATAACTGGGTTGATTTTTGTAATTCGCGAAGTTTGCGAAACATTTGATGCTAAGCATGAGCAGCTTTTGATTGAACGAGTCAGTTTTGCAGTTCAGAGAATTTCCTTACTTACGGTCCACAAGTCTATACTATGTATTTGACAATCAGCCTTCTTGCCGTGAAGTGGGACCCAGACGTACCCAGGAAATGCACATATTCTGGTATATGACACTGGGCGAGCTTCCACTGTAAACGTCAGCATTCGGTTCTTTAATCACAACCTCGAAACGAAGTAGTTTTGTTCATCAAGTTCAAAAATGTATTGCAACATAGTTACTGCTCTCGAAAAGGTGCGAGGGATGAGTTCATGTAGGTGATCACCTAAAGCTTGATGGAAGCAATTTTCAGGCGTTTGCTAACATTTATAAAGTTTCAGCGATAAAATAAGTTTTGTGCCAAGTTCGTTGCACTACTACACTCTCGCTAATCTCAACCTGAAGCAAATTTCGCGAAAGTGCTATAGTGACCTTACTTACCTCATGTATTCATTCAAAAAATCACCTTAGCTTCTCATCTTCAAAGGTGCTTCTAACTTTGATTGGGGTTATAAGTCGCATTGAGAAAATAGCTTGAGGTTGAAGTATGTCGCCTGTTGACTAGAGATTATGAGTGAATTACTTTGAGGTAGAAGTTACTGTAAGATGTGGAAATTATTTACTTTTCATTCAACATCAAATCCATTCTAAGGTACATAACCTTGAGAAGTTGCCTCAGAGTACTTTTGTGAATGCGAGTATTTGCTGATAATGAGTGATAAAATCACCTGGAAGTAAAGTTAACCTCAAGATCTAATGATGAATACGACCTCTGAAGTCGGTAAAGAGGCTTAATTTTGTGCAATAAGCTATAGGGCATAATAATGGACAAACTAAAATATCTGGAGGTACCCGACCATGATTTGTTCTCTGCACAATTAAGTAGTCTATTTTCCAATTATTATTTTCATGAACAACCTCAAACCCGCTGGAATGGAAGCTCAAACCTCAAAGGACTCAACCGAAGAACAGATGTACAGTTTGAATCAGTTTTACGCTTCCATGGCCCTATTTTTTATTGCAGCAGTGCTTTTATTACAGAAATTCTTCTAGTTATTATCGACATATAATTTCTTATTGCAGCCCGCAAATCGAATAGCGAATCCGTCACTTGAGATAGAGCCAGACTACTCTCCGGATTATGTTCCTCCAAATCTTCGAGCTTACAAAGAGGAAGATGAAGAATCTACATCATTTTGACGAAACTTGGATTCATCGAATTGGACAATAAGTCATTGGTCACAATCACTATCTTACTTCTATGCTCCTATTATCACAAAATCAGTTGTAAAAAATTGAAACGTCGGGGCTTTGTACATACGCTAGATTTCATTCACTTGAAGAAAGTGCATTATTATCATTAACTGTGAGTCCAATAAGAATTCTGAGAAATTGATTTGAATGGGTACCTACTTAGGAGTGTATCATTTTGAAGCTGTGATTATTATAAAAATCATAATCTGGCCTTCCGTCTTCTTCATCACTACCACCCGCTGCTACACAAATTTAAAACTACTTGTGATAACGAATGGCTGCTAGTTGACCAAATTAAAAGACTGTTCAGAATGTCGGCAGCAGAAGCGACAAATCACAATCCATCACTAACTCTCGATCTGACTTTCATATCGAATTCACTAAGAGACAGCAAAAATTGTGGACGAATCAAAATTAAAAAAGAACGAACAAATATGAACATACTTATTGTTAGGCAAGTTAATGACAAAATCAAATGAGGGATGATTTTCAGCAAGAATAACAGGAAATCATGTTTTCCACTACCTTTGTAGTTTTTGCGACTATGCATAGTAAACAAGGCAAATTAGGATATAAGCAGCTCAGAAAGGAAACCCAGATAGCGATGAACTACCAGTTTCATTGAAGTGATGGAAACTCCAGATAAATTTTGGATACACTAATGTAGTAAAAATACTCCAAAATTCTGAAAATTCTTCTTCGTCTCCATAAAAGCGTGGTAGCTTCATTTGGTGAGTTTCAAACTTTGACAGGCCATTTCGTTACCATCTTTCGACATTTTGTTATCGTCAGAACTGTCCTCTGTAAGCCAGGCAGCTTCTGTTCGATAAAAACCTCATCAGTACTTCAACTCTGTATAGGTCTTCCAGGATCCAATAAGGTTTCGGTCTGGGGTAGATTGCTGGTTATACCCAGCTTTTTCGCCATTTTTTCGGCATAATTCTGCGCTTCCGATAGTCTTTTGGTCAATATGCACACCAACTCGGTGGCGTTGGCCATATACTCGGTAAAGTTTGTCTAGATTTCTACCTCTTCCAGGTCTTTATCCGCATCTATTTTATTGATCTTTTGGGCCTTTTCGTGGGCTCGCAGCAGTTCGTCTATTAATGACTGCAGCGAATCCTTGCTGATTTGAATGACAATTATGGTACCCTAAATGCTATTACATGCTTCGCGGCACGCTTCATAGTTGTGCTCAAATGAAGCGTTTGTTGCAATTCCTTCGCATATGATGAAAATTTCTCCACAAATGATTGATGGGACGGTCGGGAATCGAACCCGGGCAGCCCGCGTGGCAAGCGAGCATTCTAAAACTGAACCACCGATGCACTAGAACTGTGCCACTATAGGGCAACTATAACACTGGGAGCTAACAACACGTCGCTACGAACGTTTATTGCAAGACTGCCAAAGCTGACACCCCGACCCCTGTCGATCCGTACCCGCCCGCTTTACTGTAAGTTGATTGATGGTACGGGTTCGGCCACCCAAACAGCAAATGGCCGAACATATTCAGAGGAGTGTTTGGTGCAACTATGTTTGTACGATTTTTTCAAAAACTCAAGACTATCATCATACCCTCTTGAGTTTTTCCGAGTAGATCAATATCTATTTTCAAAAAAGGATTCTAAACCGGTAAGGCGTACTCTAAATTGGGGGCAGTACGTAGGCTGTGTAGAGGCAGACCAGAAGCTTTGGCTCATTACATTGAATGTTGCGTAGAATCAGAAAGAAGGTAGATGCTTCTTTAGCAGCGCACAGTGTTGTGAGAAACTAAGGTGATTATCCACTAAGACGCCGAGATCTTTGGCAGTATCACACCGTTCAAGCGGAATCAGAGCCCGGCGCGATCGTATGGAAGCAGGCTGGACTTCGTTTTTGGGGAAAAAAAAGCAAAGGGGATATCTTTTTTTTGGCCGAAAATTGCGACGTGCTTTTTAGCCGACGTTTCGTTTTTTGAGGGTTTTTTGCGTTCAAGGCTGAGAGTCAATGAGGACTTCGTAATATTTCGCGAAAGTCAAGGGGGACTTCGTTTTCAAAAGCCTAGAAACGAACTCATGCCGGACCCTAATTGGGACTCACCCTAAGTTATTTGCGTGTTACGGTTCACGGTGCAGGTGCGGAGGGTTCGGGGATGGGTTTCACAGCGTGAATGATTCATTTGTGCTGCAGTTTGAGTAGCGCTTTAGCTAGGGCCTCATCATCAACTTCCGGGCAAAAAACCCCGCCCAGATATGCCTGGACGCTGCCTTCAAGCTTAACATTCTATAAGTTAGTCACCGAGAATGAAGCTTCCAAAAATGGCGTCACAAATTTCGCGATTTGTGTTTGGTATTAGAAAATCGTGGAAGGCCTGGCCCAAAAAAACCTGCAAAAATTACTTACACAGCAAAAGTTTGGTTACTGTGGTAGGCTTCAATCTTGTACGGTAACACAAAAAAAATTCGCGAAAATTTCACTATACACAACTTCCACCCCCCCCCCCCCCCATTACTGCACTATCTCAGCGGAAACAATTTTCAACGCTTCAAAAAATGTAACAGTGTTTTTAGGCACTATGTCTAATTTCTGGTTATAAACTGTTTCTGTAAAACACTAATGACCCTGCAAAGTGACAATCACAATTTTTTTGTTTTGCATCTCCATAGAGAATAAAGCATGCAAAAGTAGCATATGGACTCTTGCCATGTAAGAAATTTTTACAGATTTTTTGAGCTAGGTGGAGGTCCTCCGCGAATTTCTGGCAGCAAACAAATCCACAAAACTTGAAGGACCATTTTTAATAGCTTCGTTCTTGATGAAACTATGGAACTCATAGAATATTATGCTTGAACATCTATTATGAAGTGAAAACTTCGATTATTAGCGTGTCTCATCATTTTTTACCGAACTGTCTTCTTTTTGTTTCCCTCAGTTGATGTGGCTTGAGTAACCATTCGACAGGGCAATGCAAGCTCTACAAGATGGCTATGAAGAGTTTCCCCAATTCGTATATCGCGTGAAGTTTTGAGTTGAAAATCTGATAGCAGTCGAAAACGACTCTGACCGTCAAAAATATCATACCCCTTCCAAAAAAAAATCTCAAAGTCCCATTTATGCTGGCATATGCTTGACACATCGAAAATCCAACTGTACACTTCGTGATTTTTTCGCGCTTGAAAATAAAGAAAAAATGGATGAGCGAAATGGCAATCTCCGCCCCTATCAAGATATTAATGAGCGCAAGTTGCGCCGTAGTTGAATATCACAACATCACTGAGTTTCGCGCTGAATCTCAGATTTTCTCCCGGTCTGCATGAATGCGGGAGAATAAGTTGTCTCGGACGGTAATCCCCCTATCAAAAAGCCGGTGTTCAAAATTTCTCGCGGCAGATTTGTTTAAGGCAGTCATTCTGTCGCTACATAAGTTTTCTATGCGCAGTTAACTACGAATATCTGAGACGCTGTATACTAGCGTTAAAGTTAGTATATTTATTTCAAATGATGGTACATGAATGCAAAGAGGCAATCGGTAACAGTTTGTAGCTAATCTGACAACATAAACACAACAAAAAGTGACTGCCTGCTCGTATGACCGCCACTCATAATGGCCACAATGGTGAGTGACAATGGGGAAAGCACAGTTCCACAACTTCTTCAGAAAGACTTTTGAGCATCGTTTCATCTTTTGAGTAATAGCCCACGGCATTTACTGCAAACCGTGGAACTTCCTTTATCTGAACAAATGGACATGAACTTTCGCTTTCTGCATTTTGCACTATTTTGCTTTCGTCTCATTCCTCAACTATATTAGATGAAGTGATAGTTTTTTAGATCCTATTACGTCGTGCAGTCATGCTAGTGTTTCAGTATAGGTCATGCAGTCATGATTTTGAACTGTTGGTTTTATGTAAGCGTATACCGGAGAACGTTAATGTTTCATTGCTAATAAAACTCTTGCCTTAATAGTTTCCGCAGACCTTTACGTACCACAATGTAGAACTGCCTTCAACTTAAAACGAAATGAATCACCCATCGCTCTTCATTACTGCAGGCTTGCGTAAGAATTTCCAGCCATGTCATTGCAAACCAGCTGCCATTTCAAAAAAAACGTCAAAACTTTTGTGGCAGGAAGTTCAGACCGGCTAACTCAATAGATAACTAACCTTTTGCAGACCAGTTCAAAAAGTGAAACGGACATCCTCTCACCCCTGTCCGGAAACGTACTGTGGAGAGCAGCACGCCAGCAGCGCGAGCGAGCGCATATCAAGAACGCGTGCTGGTGCAACTTAGCATATCGCAAACACATGAAAACCCATCGTTTTCTTTATTATTTTTCCTTTCTTTTCGCTCCTCGAGCACAGTTTTTTTCATTTATAATGACATTAATTAATCACGTCAACAATTGTGAAGTAAGATCGAGGGATTAAAGGCACCGTCCACCCAGATTTTCGACTTCCATGTTTTTGTCGTTTTAGGGCCTTTCCATCTCCCTGATTCCGAATATGAAGTCGAGAACGCGCGAAAACCCCGACAATCCCCGTTCCGGAAAACCCACAGGCCGGCTTTCCGGAACGGTGATTGGATGGGCGCGCACAAATGGGCGTTCATGGATGGGGGTCCTCGTGCATCTTCGCTATGTCAAAGCGATCTTCTCGCTTCCGAAGCGGCATTTTGCGATGCGACTTGGGCATTGGATTGATAGGGGGCCCTACTACTATATGCTGCCAAAAGCTCAACACCGTCAACTTAGGGTGGACGGTGCCTTTAAGGCCATTTCCGCTGAAGAGTGCTGGAGACGGCAAATTCGTTAAATATCAGTAATTCGTTGAGTATTTTGTACTGTAGAGCAAGTCATAGCTGTGGGATAAATTAAGCAGAAAATGTAACAAAATGTCTTATTTTTGGCTTAATGAGACCGTCGATATTAAATGGTATAAAATGGAAGGCTTGAGTGAACCACACTCATCAGAATTCCCATCAAAATTATATTGCCTGGACCTCACCTAGGACGCTGCATTCCGATTTGGCAAGTTCTCAGACAATTCACCGGAACTTCCGCAGGACAAGCAAAGCTTGCAGCGTTTCGGCAGCACTTTCTTGACCATTGAGAAAGTGCACGCTCCAGAATGCGAGGTTTCTGCAGGAAATT